AGAGCAGGCGGTGAAGATAATACGTTTGTCGGGCTGCAAGTGAGAAAGCAAGATGTTCCCCACACCACCGCCAGTGAGGTGGCTGCATTCATGAACTACATGAGGCGCAACTTCAATAACTGGAAGGTGCTGAAGGAAGCGATGGAGTGGGAGATCATTTACATCCAGCACACTGCGTGCACGCCGATGAGGACAAGGCAGCAGTGTATTATCTCGGAGGAGGAAAAGCGGAGTCGAAGTTTTAAGAGTGCCAGCGATTTCTGGGAGAGAAAGGTGGAGCAGTACCAGGTGCAACTTGACGCGGAGGTTGCTGGCCAACTGCAGGCTGCTGCCGATAAATGCCGCTTCTTATAGGCGGCGGGGGTGCGGGGCGTGCGGTTAGCCGTCCGCCGTGACTGTGCGCCGAGTTGCGGGGGCATGGGCTCCTCGTGTTTCAAGCCATCCGTTCAGTGCGTTTTTGCCTTTGTTGGGAGTGCATGGGGAGCGGCATGGCTGTGAGTGAGGGGAGAGACAAGTATTTTTTTTTTGTGCGTCTGTGTGTTTCTCCGTCATCATTGAACGGTGCACACTTGACTTGACTGCGGTTGGCGCAGTGGGGAGAGTGGCGGCGTTGTGGGCGGGGGACTTCGCAGACAGAAGCCCGCGGGAGGCACGTGCCCCCAGGCGGGGCCAAACAGATGAGGGATAGCTTTCTGCGGCTCCCCTGTTTCTTTGCCGATGGTTTTTATTTTCGTTTTTTTTTCCCACGATGCCGCGCTGAAGAGCGGCGCAAGTGTTGTAGTTTTTGGTTTCTTTATTATTTTTCTTTGTTTTTCTTCCCGCCCCAACCCCCCGCTGCTGCCGCTGCGACGGGCGCCCTCCACGCGGAAGGGCGTCTGTTGGCGGCGGGCCCCCGCAGACCGCCACTCGGTGAACCCCCACCGGGGGCCCGGACATCACGGCCGTGCGTATTTTGGGCCCATGAGCGGTGTGGCTGCGTGCGCGTGGAAGAAATTTCGTTTTTTTTTTCTGTGGGGGACGTTGGGGCGCAGCGGGCCAAACTGTGGCTCCCCCCCACTCTGGGGCCCTCTCGCCCCTTAAGGAATAGGGACGATATGACCTCAACCAGAGAGGCATATTTTTATTTTTATTTTATTTTTTTTTAAAATATTTTTGCCTCCTCCTTTCGGCGTATTTCGCGTGGGTCTCTTTGGCCGGTTTGCCGCGGCTGGCGGGCGTGTTGCGGTCGGCCCCCTCTTCGGGGGCTGAGAGGCACTTTTTTTTTTGTTGCCTCGCCCCCTCTCACTCCCCTTTTGGCTGGTGGCTGGTGTTCGGCTGCAGCGCAAGCCATCAACACTGCGCAAAGGTGAAAAAAAAAGTCAAGGAAAAGATGCCTGCAGGGCAGAAGAGGGCGCATGCTGCTAAGAAGGAAGAGCGTTCCGCCAGCGACACGCGGCAACCCGCGGCGCGGCGCCGAAGGGTGGAGGAGGAGGCAATGCGGGATGAGGAAATTGACAGACTACCGCTACCGGAGGGACTCTACGACTCTGTGCTCAACGCACAGTGGAGCCACGTCTTGGGGTTTCCCGAGGAGGAGGAGGATGATGAGATGGAGATGAAAATGGAGGTGAAAGCAGGCCAGGCACCCCAAGAGTTGTGGGAGTACAGGCAGGACGGCGTAACTTTCCTGCCGGTGGAAGATGCAGAGCAGTTTCGCCCGCCGCGTCCCCGGCTGATGATACTCACCTCGGAGCAGAAGTGGCCGCACGCGCTGCGGGAGGGGCTCGATGTGAGGGACTGCTACGTTACCGCCGAGGTGGAGCGGGTCTGGCGGATTGTCCGGGGCGATTTAACCGGAGAGTTCGGCACTGAAGACCTAAAGAAAAAGTTTAAAGTGCGGCGGCGCCTTTTGATTGGGACGCCCGGGACCGGGAAGTCGATGGCCGCCGGCTCTTACCTCCTCCACCAGCTGCTCCGCCACGATGATAAGGAGCTCCAGGTGGTTGTCTACTGCCTTGGCGCAGAGTTGGCGTACGTGTTTGACAAAACCAACAAAACGGTGACAGAGCACGCGGATGCGGGCAGCATCATCGATGCCATTAAAGATTTGGCGGGGAAGTTTAAACTGAACGGGTATATTATCTACGACGTGGACACACACGGTCCTGGACCGACGGAAGATTTTCCGTCCCCCAAATCATGGGGCGTCATTGTGTTGTCGTCCCCAAACGAAGACAACTTCAAAGCGTGGGAGGAGGCCAATCAGGCCGCGCGAATCATCATGAATTGCCCCGGCGAGAGCCATGTGAAGGCGATGTGTGCCTGGGAGACGCGTGATACGTCTGAGCAGGAGCAGGCAGACTACTGTAATATGGTTGGAAAACGCATGGATGATGTGGGACCGATTCCGCGATGCATCTTTAATGAGAGTGAATATGAGGGGCGCCTGACCGCGATTGAGGCTGCCTTGGGGTTGATGAGCGCCTCGAGGCCGGAGAATCACATTTTCATTGGACGTCGTGAAGTGTGGCCTGCGAATGACGTGTCTCACACGCTAGCGAAGGCAGCCCGACTCAAGGGGGAGGACGGCAATGAGACGTTTGTGAACCTGCCGGCCAGTTTTCGCCTCGGACACAAAATAATGGGAAAGTTGGCAAGCATAGGCAGGCATCATGACATTTTGTGGGAATTGTGGAGGTTGAGTGATTCATTCCCGTCAGAATATCTGCAGAAGTTTGCCGTGTACGCATTCCTGGGCGGGGGAACTTTGCGCGCAACATAAGCCAAAGGATTAGGCCGCTGCCTCCACCATAGGGACGTGAGCGACGGCCATGTGGGCTGCGATCACACCCTGAAAAGCATCCAAGCAGGCCAGTCGCACTAGCCCCAGCGGAATACCGTCCTGCGAAGGTGGGTGGAGTACCCGGGTGCCTTAAGTGTCGTGGGTCAGAAGCTTTCCACTGGTAGACGTTTTTTTTTTCTGTTTTCATTTTTTTCCCCCTTAAAACAGTCGAGAAGGAATTTGTTTGGGCTGCGGTTTGCAG